TGATATTTGTGAAGATGTGGTTTTTAGAGATGAATTTGATATTGTTTTTGATTGTCTTGTTTTTGATTTATGCTGATTTTTGTGATATTTGTGAAGATGTGTTTGATGATAGAAGTGATGCAATGTCTGAATCCAGCATTAATCTTGTCAAAGATGATAACAATGAAAATAATAACCAAGACTGAAATATTATTAGCAGTGCAAAAAAATACGCATTCACAATTATGAGTAAACAGATTGCACCAAAAAATTACAAGAAAAAAAAGCATGGATCTACAAAAATCTTTGCAATCAAACAGGATATATTGGAATCCAACAACCTAATTTTAAGTACTACAATCAATACAAAATAGAATTCAACACAGAATCCAATCACAATAACGCAATCCAATATTTGAAAGATACTTTTGAAATCCAAGCAATTCAACATAATTCAGCTCAACCACCCACAATCAAAATTACATCCTCTGGCATCATCATTCATGATGTTCCCCTTGGCATAACCATTGCAGACATTAATAATGCAGCTTCTACTATAGGAAAAGTCAAATCTATATCACTACGTGAAAAAGCCAGATGGCAAACAGCACATGTCAACTTTGAAGAAACAGACAAACAACTTGACATACAAAATATCTGGGCAATAACAATCAAAAAAGATAGCTGCAGAGTATATCCAAAAAACAACTTCCTTGAAATCAAAGAATACCGCAATCAATTTATTAGCAAACTAACAAATCTTTCACCAGGATGTACAGCATATGAATTAAAACAATTACTTGACAAAATCAAAGCAAAAACCTGCTTTATTCCACATACCAGAAATAAATACAACTGAATAGGAATCGTATTCATCTTCTTTGACTCTAGCAATAACGGAGAAATGGCAATATCAACCAAATATTCACTTTGCAATCATAATTTAGTTTGGATAATAACTAATCACAAAACATGCACATTCTGTCATCAGGCAGATTATCTTATTGTAAACTGTCAGGAAAAAAACAAAACATCAAGCAAACAAGTCAAATAGAATACGATTCAACCCATTTCATTCAAATGCTTTCTCCATCCTCAAAAAACCAAACTCCAAGACAATAACAAATTCATCTCTAAAAACCACATCTTCACAAATATCACAAAAATCAGCATAAATCAAAAACAAGACAATCAAAAACAAGCAAAGGAAAAATCCAATCACCAACAAAATGAATGGAATGAACTAAAAGAAAAAATGAACAGAATTGAAGAAAATCTAGACAATGCAATGAAAATAATCAACCATTTGGCAGAAAAAATGAACATTCAAATTGCAACTCCAACATCAGAAAAACAAATTCAACAACAACAAATCAACAACAATAAACACTCACAAGAATTTAATATTCTTAACAACCGTATCAATTCAATACTGAATCTATTCATCCATCTCAAAAAATCAATCAATACTTTAGCCAAAGCTATTCAAACATCACAAACAATAGAAACAGAAATAATCACATTAAACAATGATAACACATAACAATGGGATTAAACAAGATTTGCGGCAATAGCAAACAGCATCACAAATAACATCAAACACAAATAACTATCACATGAATAATAACAATCACAACTATTGGAAAATTTGTATAATAAATGTTTGAGACATAAATGATACAAGCAAGCTATATACTCTTAATGACTGGATTTATGAAAATAACTTCGATTACACCTTTCTTACAGAAACCAAACTCAGAAAAAATCAAGAATCCAAATTCAATCTAGAACACAAATCATTTACTATATTTTATGAATCAACAACTACACACACACTTGGACAAGGCATAGCAATAATAATGAAAAATAAATGGACCAGACATATTGAAGAAATCAACAAATTTGAAGGCAGACTGTTACACCTAACATTAAAATTCAAAGAAAAAAAAACATTACATATTATTAACTGTTATAACCCAGCATCAATAAACCAGGTAACATCCATCATTAAACAGCAAATAATCAACTATATCACAAAAGTCACAACAAAAAATGAACCAATTATAATTGCTGGAGATTTCAATGAAGACGCAATTTTTTATAAGAACAATCAATCCAAATATCCAACAATCAACAACATCATCGGACATGGACTCATTAATACACATGATACAAATATATATACACATACAATCACACACACTTGGCAACAAAATAACATAACTAGAATCCTAGATTACATTTTCATCGATCCATCAATGGCTACACATTCCATTCCTATAACAATACAACTAATAAATAGTTTTTCTGATCATACACCAATCAGTATAAACCTTGATACCAATCAAATCTTAACAAGAACGCAACACCAAAAATACAAATATAAAAAACATTTTCATAAAACAATCAATATCAAAAAAATAACTGAAACAGATTGGAAAACATACAAGACCAATACTCATCAAAACTTCATCAAACTCACCTCTACAAACCCCTCATTTAAAGTAGATATCAATGCTCACTGGAACATCCTCAAAAATACAATATTAGAATTAGCAAAAACATTACCCACCAAAAAATTAAGAGCCACAAATTTGCATATCAAAAAAGAGTCAAACCTGTTCAAAGCAAAAAAAATCACACAATCATATAAAACGTCGAATAACTCCACTTACTCACACGACCGAGATATAAAACTGATTGTGGGGATTGGACTAGGAAACCACCGTCTGGCACTTGTTTTCATGTAGAGGTTTGTTTTTTATGACCTCATAACTGCAGCGTTATAGTTTTTACGGAGAATAATAACCGGTAGTGTAAATGTTTTTGCTATGCTGCAATAATAACGCGGACAATTTTGGTATACAATTAGACCTCACTATTAGATCTCACTAAATGCAGACTCTATAAAAAGCCTCACTAATTATACGCCTCTCTTTGTTTCCGACTAATATAGCGCTTATAGATTTTAACCTTCCTAAATTCATGTCCACTTTTTTTTTTGTATATGGTCACATATATCACATTTAAAGAGTTTAAATATAAAAGGGTGTATCATTGAATAATAATATTTTATTTTATTAAATAAATTTTCACAACAATTTTTTTTAATTAGTATTAAATACCAAACATTATGTTTAACATTTTTTCTCGTTTCATTTTTCAAAAAGATTCAAGTTCCATGCAACAAGAATGTCGACGTGATCTTATAAAGCATATATTGTTCGAAGCTCAATCAAGTGCAATAGGCAACAGCTTAATCGAAACATATAAAGAAGAATTTCGTTATATTGATGAAAACCAAATTTTAACAGAGAAAGAAAAAGTACTTGCAAAGAAAATCATTAACTTTAATAAAGATGTTGAAAACCTTCTCTTCGAAAAAGGGCAGAAGTATAAACATGAAGGATGTGGTCGTTTCGGCTTTACTACTCTGTTTTGCGAACATTGTGCTCGCGATTGTCTTATTAATGATTTCAAAAATTGGACCTCAGGAAATCCAATTGTTGATCGAGCTATTCAAAATGCACAAATTAATTGCCCTATTCCACGTAGAGTCATAGAATGGGTCCCTTATAGTGACCTGAATGATATTAAATTTAAAACTCGTGGTGGTTTTGCATCGATTTACACTGCTACTTGGAAAAAAGGATATATTTTATCATTTGACAATGATCAAAAATGCTTTAAAAGATATGGAACCGAAAATGTAATTCTTAAAAGGTTAGAAAATCCTAATGCAGATGAAGAATTTTTAAACGAAGTAAGTCATTTGAAGCCTTAATATTATCATAAGAATTATTCTAAACTTATCATTTAGTTAGAAATGCATATCAAGTTATACTCGAGTGGATTTCGAGTAGTAGCTTTGGGTGGGATATCTAAAGACCCAAAAACAGAAGATTATTTTCTTGTGCTTGACCAATACGAACGAGATTTAAGTCAATTTATACGAAATAAATATACTTCGCTAAAATGGATGAATGTTTATAATTTATTTTGGGATATTTCTACCGCACTTTATCGGATTCATCTCTCAAATCTAGTTCACCGTGATCTCCACCCCGGAAACGTTTTACAAAAATTTGACGGCAGTTGGAGAATTTCCGACTTAGGTTTTTGCAACCTAGCTCGTAAAGAAGAGAACCATTTTTATGGAAATCTTCCATACTGTGCTCCTGAGGTCATTAATAATGGAGAATATACCATTAAATCAGATATTTATAGTATTGGAATGTTAATGTATGAGGTTGTTACTGGTATGCCACCATTTTATGATCAGAGAAGCGAGGATCTTGCAATTAATATATTATGTGGAATTCGACCGACTATTCCGAAGGGAATTCCAGAATCATATCTACGATTAATGTGCAATTGTTGGAAATCAAATCCGGAGGATCGTCCTAATATCCTTCATATTGTAGAATATTTTTACGCAAAAATCAAAGAAACGATGAACAATTCCAACGATGTCTTAGTTGCGATTCAAAATCCTCCTTTTAATGATGGTATTGCCAAAAGTCAATTACATGAATTTAAGAAATTTATAATACCTGGAGATGCAACACAGGGTAAAAATTAAACTCCTAATATCTTATATTAAATACAATATTGTAAGCTTACCAATTTAAAACATTTTGCCTTTTTTGACTTGCAAAATTCTGTATATACATATTTTAGCACACAATACTGAGCAAGAAATCATTCACTTAATAGATGATAATCATTCAGAAGAAAATGGTAGGTCATAACATGTTACTATTTATTTTGTATTATGAAAGATTCTTGAATAGATTTTAAAAGGTTTTATTTCATATAAATTACATTACTTTCATAACGAAATAGCTGGACTGAGCTATAAAAGCTTACAAGATGATCTTAAGCTCGGTATATTTTAGGAGAAACTTATGTAATTTTTATGGGATGCCGGTAGATTTATGCGATTGGCTTCAGTTTACTTGATAACTTTACATTATTATCTTTTTTAAACAAATTGTCTTATCAAAAACCTCTATCAGTTTAGAGAACTATGTTTTTTATTAGGTTATTAGCGTTGTAAACTTAAATTTAAATACAACAATAATTTAATTTACAAAAATATTATAGTTTTATAATTTATAAAGATTGCATATCATTATTCAATTTAGAATTATAAAAGCAAAAATTAAATTCAGAATTATTAAACCAGCAAAAATGTACGTACGTACGTACGTACGTTGTGAATTGGATGCATATTAGTGAATTTGGCGCATTTAGGCCATACAAAGCAGGAATCCCAAAAAAATTTTTTACAGCTGTTTTCATAATTTCTGAACACCTGACAAAAAATTAGCCGAATGATTTTTCGGCCGATTCGGTTAAGATATTGATTTCGGCATAATAGGTTCAATATGAAATTTAAGATCAGGTGACTAATATAAAATCCCTATAAAATTTTCGTTCTAAAATTGTTCGATTTTCCGAACAGAGGTTTATTCTTATACTGTTTTCATTGCTGGATGTTAAAATTGAGAATGTTTAATTAAATGCGTATCGTACAAAAAACGTATAATATCCAATAAACATCCTGTAAATGTTCAATACGGAGTCGATTTGCCAAACAAAAAATCGGATAATTTCAGAATGATTCCAAAGGATTTTTTTTTATAGGGAATATTATAAGATTACATATGCATATCTACTAAGCATCTTCGTTGGAAAATGAAAAAGAAAACTTTAGAAGGTTCATTGATTCAAAAAATTGTTAAACACTTAGGTGTTAGTAGATCTTTTACAAATCGAGTTCTCAAGCGCTTAAAAGAAATGGATGTATTAAAAAACTTTTGTAATTTATCTTCGACAAATGGGGGAGTCAATAGAAAAGGGGCAAATCAGTTTTAGTAAAATTTGTTTAATTTTTAAATTAAAAAACTAGATGTTACCCGGCGCTTCGCTGCCAGTTTAAATTTACACATCTAATTTTTTTTTTTTTTTTTGCAGTCTAAATTTATAATTTAACACAAATTAGGTGAAAATTAATTGCAACATATGGGCACTAGGGACACTTGAAGAATAGGTACCCCAGTGATGACCGGGGTAAAATCGCCACCCAAAAAAGTTTCGAAAATCATGTGATATTATCAATTCATTTAGGATCATGATGCGTAATAATATTTATAAAATATTAATTGATTTAGTAAGTGATTTATTTTCTTCGATTCTTGCGATCGTTGCAATCTCGACAAACTAAGTGATTCTTTTAAAGACATAAAATTCAATAAACACAATATTCTACATAAAAATATACATCAATTGCTATAACCCAATTTCTACTAATAATAAACGAAAAAAATAAATGAAAATCGAAATAAAATTATAAAAACTAATTAACAAAATGTAATTGTATAGAAAACCTTGTAGACTTTATTTTTAATGCTCCTCCGGAAGACTATAACTGATTATTTATTTGAGCAAAAAATTGTTATAATTCTGAATCCAGAAAAATTATTGAAGAAAATATAATGAATCAAATATTAACAAATGGCTCGATAGTGTTAATAAAAACTTTGAGCCATTGCATAAATTGGAGGTAGATTATAATCATTTTAAAAGACGATGGAATATTCAAAATACTTAGAAAACCCGTAATCATAATACTTTCTGGCTGTAATAAATATTACGTTTATTGAGTTTATTCGAAATAAATAAAATTGCTTATCGTTATCATTTTGTTAGTCTAAATTTTTTTCGTTTGTATTTGTTGGTCCAAGCTACATGAATTTTTGGTGTTTTACATATTTGTTACGTGATGTTCGAAACTTTTTTGGGTGGCGATTTTACCCCGGTCGAACTTTCCTGTAGTTCAATAATGCTAGCTGAGTTTTTCATAGTGCTGGTACTATATATCACGTGTGAAATTTACATAAAATTTAAGTGAAATTACATGTATTGTAAGTTTGTAAAATGTAATTTTCAACCCTCTATATAAAAATCCGGTAAATTTTTTCTTTTATTTTAATTCTATAAATTAGTAGAAATAAAATAAAAAAAATTTCATTGAATTTGAATAGATGACTGTTGCTTAAAGTTTAGAAAAAGAAAATTTAGCCCGATTTTTAGTTGATATTTTAATTTTTTTTAAAACTTCTAGCGAATATTTTCGATAACCACTAAACCAAATTCAATAAAATTTTTGTCATTTTGATTCTGCAAAAATATAGGATTAAAATAAAAAATTTTTTACCAAATTTGGTCAAATAGTTATTGCTAGAAGTTTAGAGATTTTTATAGATTGGTAACGCTAGGACAGTTTCAATTGTTACTAATTGGACATATGTCCAAACTAATTGGGCATATGTCCAAAACTAATTGGGCATATGTCCAATTGTTTTGAAAACAATTGGACGTAGTAACCCGATATCTACTGTTATACTGTGAGTATAAAGAACGTTTGGGTCTTTCACAGCAAAACCATGCTTAGGGTATATGATATATACTCTAAGCATGGTTTTGTTGCGAAAGAACCTATTTATTAATCGTGTTAAAATAAGATTTTCTGGTTCTTAAATATTACCTCATATTAATTCCAGTACGAATGTTTATGAACATTTAATATTTTCATTTTATTAATATTTGAATATTTAAATTTATGAATATTTACTATCTCACTAACTTCATTTTATTCACATTAGTTAATTGTATTAATTCAGCAATATATAATTTAAAATTAAGCATTAAACTAAACTACGTATTAAATTCATGGGCATTTACTATTAAACAATACTTTTCACTAATCTCCGTCAATTTATTGAATATAAAAAAATATTAATCAAAATGGTTAAAATAAGACATTTAAGTTCATGAATAGTTTGGAAATATTATAAACTTTGACTGTCTTAAAAGTTATTAATAGTCGTGATTATAAATATTTGAATACGTATAATCATTTAAAAATTTTAAGTGTATGTACGTACGTATGCACAATATTTCCTAAATTATTAACTTCATTAAAACACGTACGTACGTACTACGTACCATATTTCCTAAATTATTAACTTCAATAAAGTGCATATTTTTATTATTAAAGTTAATAACCTAAGAAATATTTAATTTTAATGTATGACCGCCCTAGCGTTATTAACCTAAGAAATTTAGCTATCAGCGTCAGCGTTAGTTTTAGTGCTTGAGCGTATATTTTGTTTTGATTTTAGGCTGCACCTAAACTTGAAATTTACTTGACCAGACAACGAAATTTTTTAGATTGGTACGCTAAAACAGTTTCAATGGACCACCTGATTATGTATTAACGGAATGCATAAAGAATTATGATCTTTAGGTTCCCTGAGAATAAATCGGACAGATAACCCGATTAATTGGATAAAACTGATGTTAATTTAGTGTTGGTATATATTGGATTTCGGGTTATGGTCACACTTTTATGAGCAGTACATGGAATCGGGATAAAGTTCAAGGTTTCTTTAGTACTGTATTCGAGCATTAACGATGAGTGATCTTCTATTATAACTAGTAACTTAGTGGTGGCGAAAAAGAGCGCAATCACATGATTGTTTTTGTCCAATCACATTACAAGATCAGGTGTA